GATCTAGAACAACCACTTAACAATCACAATACCACCAACTGGTACCATACTGACAATACTACTTTAACAAATAAAGACAGAAAGAGAAGGAATAGAAGGAGAAGAGAGAGCTTAAGCAAAGATGAGGTAGGAGTGGGAGAAAGGAAAAAGAAAAGACGGAAGAGAATGGAGCAGAAACTAGAATTTTAATAAGAAATTATTTAAATTCTATTCCAAAATAATATAGATCCAAGATTTCTCAGTTAGTGCTTATAAGTATCTTTAAGCATTTCATTTCATTTACCCATCGGATAAAGAAATAAACAGGATGTTTCTTAGGTACTCCAAAATAATTTTAAGCAGGGAAAAAATTCACGTTTTTCTACCTTTTCTTAGGTGCTTATGTTTTTATTTAAATTAATTTATAATTTTCCTCTCAAACATAAATGTTTTTTTTTTTTTTTTTGTTAAAAGATACATTTACAACTTAATTTACTATGGTTTCACCTTATTGCAATTCAAACTCTGGTTTCTTATCCCCATTCAGGATTGTGTGGTTTGGATTTTTGTCATTCCACATATAAGAACCATTAGTTCTTTAGGCTATTGTCTTGCAATTTTTAGTCTTTCCCATAATTTTGATAAATCTAATCTTGTCACATGTTCGTATTTAGAAGCCCGTAAACGTGCAAATATCCTCCAACAATTTAATGAATTCATGTAAAATGAAGGGGAAAAAACCAAAATAAAAGATATTTAACTGTTAAAAAAAGCCGTTTAGTAAAACTACAACATATGAAAATATGAAATTCTAAATTTCATTTTCTTTAAATATGTTTAAGAATTTAAAATGCATCTCTTTCAGTAGTCCCAAACACCCTCTTAGTCATCCTGCAGATCCTAAGAAAGAAAATAAGACAAAAATATATAACCAAGATAACTCCTAAATCTGGCTAATGTTTCCTAAATAGCCTATATAAGGGGGGAAAATGTAAATAGCATAATCAAATAAATGCAAAAATATTTTATATTATTAAAAAAAATATCAGGAACACATTCCCAATAAGCCAGAAGACAGAATTTTCTCAGTTCTACATCAGGAACACATTCTCTATGAGCTAGAAGACAGAATTCTCCATAGCAAAAAGGGCAAACATATTACTCGGTAGAATCAGGAATATGAACTATATAGTTGCAAGAAATAATTCTTAAAAAACCAGTGAATGATATCAGCAGGTAAAGAAAATTATACCTTTGGGATTTTACCATTTAATCTTTGGTCCACAAATGGGAGATCACGTACAACTACAATACGCCATTTCCCTATAAATTTGTCATCACCAATTTTATTCCCCTGTGACTCCTGCGTTGCAAGAGTAATTTCATCCCAAAATGCAACATAACAAACCTGCATCCACAAGTTTCATAATATATATGAATACAAGGAGACAAAAAACACCATGTTGGTTACCTATAGCAGCTGCTAACCTTTCGAAGTGATGCCTCTACCATTCCAATAGGTTGGTAAAGGTCGTCTCCACCTCCAAATGCACAAGTAGACACCACAACTTTGCATCTTTCCATAAAACTTTTATCCTCATCTGAAAGTCTAAACCCTCCATTTTTACTGTAAAAGCCACAATGTACCGGGACTGTCTCACCCACCTGCAAGTAAAAATTTAGTGAGGACATAAGCAACAACCAACAAACTAAAAGCATTTTTAGATAATTACAAGAATGCAGAATTCATGATGCTTTGTAAGAAGTGCACTTCTTAGTAGCCAGATCCCTAAATTTTGCAGTTACTTCCAAAATGTTTTTTAAGTTTATGAGATGAAGCTGATAACCTTAAAACTTTTCTCTCTCTGATCGAGAGTTTGGTTTCCTGTAAATAAGTTAAATCTTGTACTATTACTGCTGTGTCGAGAAAGGATTGTGTTCTCTGCCACATAGGATGTGTCATTTTCTGATATGTATTCGAGTTTTTTAACAATACTACTGGCTTCTTCACCAACAGGAATTTCCAGATGCTCAAGTTCTTCAGGAGAGATGAGCTTCAAGCAACCTGATATGATCCACAAAAATATGCTTAAATTTTTATGTGTTAGCTCGTGAAAGATTAAAACAACAGCAGAATAGTTCGTTGTCCTTTGAACAGAAGTATCATTGTGGTAAGTCTTGACATACCTTACACAAAAACAAAAGTCCCAAAGCCATTGATTCTCAAACAGTCAACACTTTCCTTCTTCTGTTATACTAAATAAAATTATAAGTATTTGTCTAGTCTATAATTACATTGGAAATTATAAGTTCGTAAAAGCATCGAAGATTTTGCATATAATTTTAATATAAGGAGACATGTCTATCCCCAGTATGCAGCAACGAACCCATTTTCAATTTTCAAGACAGATTGAGACCCATAGTCAAAACAGGCTGATGTTTGTTACACGTAACCATAAAAAGGGAGAAAAAGCATGCTCTTAGGGCAAACATTCCCAAGCATTACAAGTGAAAAGTTCACATTTCGATGGACATACTTTACCAGAATGGGAAAGAAAGCTAGGAGGTCAGTTTAACTAATTTGGAGATTTCTAGACAAGGACATGAAGCTGGACTGATCAGATTAATAAAGTGTTTGGTTATTTGATAGAAAGGACTCAATAACTCTTTCAGCCCCTCATGAGCCCAAAGAAAAACTGACAATTCTATCAAAGCTCCAGATGGCTAAAGTTACAGATTGTTGTGCTGGTGGCAGAGGACTCCGAGTAGCAATGTTAATTAAAGATGAACAATGCCAGAAGAACCAATTCAAGGAAAACAAATTTACCCATTAATTAATTCAAACAAATAGAATTCAGAAACCGCTTACGTTCTCTTACGCCGCCAATGACCCGAGTAGTTGGATCTAACCGATTCAAATTGTTTTCCGTTTTCTTATTTGTACTCGGCTTTGTCACTGTATTAGATTTCGATTTCTCCATAAGATGAGGCTCCTTCAATATTGGACCGGGTTTCCTGCTAATCCTTGTGGCCTCAAATAACAATAATCCAGCAGCAAGAAGGATGATCAAGACCGTCCAGTATCTGAGGAGGAACCTCAGAAGTTGACGAGGGAATCCATTGTTCAATTGATGACTAGGTTTCTTGCGCTTTCTACGAACCCGAGCACGCGCTCGACTGAGTTCGTCAATGTCATCCTCCGATACTGAAATCGACACGCTGTTGTTACCGCTGCCGAACATCGAAGACGACAGTGGATATAGAAATTACAGAGACTGAGATGCAACAATGAAATTGAAGACCGGAGAAGCTAGGGTTTGAGGGAGAATAGTGACAATGGTCAAGAGTTGGCAACTAAGTAGGAAGCAGAGAAAGCCTCCGGCGACTGGCAGATAACGGAGGGATTGCGTGACTTCCGTTCGCGACGAATGAAAGCAGAGGAGATTCGTGCGCTGGATTTCGGCCGGCCCCGACGGTAGCCGACAGGATAGATGCGTGTCTTGGGGAAGGGTGAAAAGAAGGAGAAGAAAATGGGAGGATGAGATTTGAGAGATCTTTTGTGAGTGCTCTTCGCTTGACAGTGATGATAGAAGAAGAAAGGCGAGGAAGAGAATATATGTCGATAACGGTGCGGTAGAAGAATATGGGAGTTAGATGGGGAGAAGGGATGAAAACAGGGGGGGTGTCATTGATGAGAAACAGAGAGAGCTGATGCAGAGAGTTGAGGAATGAAGGAAAAAGCACCAGGAGTTATAATAATTATTAATTTTTTTGATAAAATAATTATAAAAGTGCTCTAGAATTTTTTGGTTTTCCTTTTCTTAGTACAATTTTATTTTTAGATAACTAGAATTTTGTGATTATTTTTATTTTTAATTTTCTCAGATTTTCTCAACCCAAAACCAATCTGCCCCCAAATTTAATTACAAATTAATCCAATTTGATCAGTTAATTTATTAAATCCATCATATTGCAGTCTTTGGTTCATCCCTCCTCCTTTTGTCTTCCTGCTTCTTACCTGGAAGAAGCTTATGCTGGAATCCCACATGCCTTCTGCTATTGTATCCATCGTGCGGGTTTCAAAAATTTTACATACAAATCAACTATTAGCTGAGTAATTAATTACTTAGTCTCTCTGGTCAAGTGTAGTTTTGAATTATAAGCTGGTTGTTTTTTGTTTTTGTAAGACTGATGACAAATCAAAACCAGGTCGTTTCTCGTAACTTTAGCTCGTTCGGTTCTTAAACTAAAATATGGGGCTACTGAAATACATAAATGATTCCGTGGGTGAACAAGATTTCAATGTAATGTGCTAATCGTTAAAATGGAAGTATGTCCGAGCCCGAACCAAATGAGCCTAATTGATTCAAGCTTACTTAATGTTGATTGACATTAAAACACATGTTGATCTAACATTACATACACCTCTGCAGGATGATGTTTCCGAAAATTCTGTATAAGGGTACCCCCCAACATCTGTACTAACAGAGAAACTGTGGTAAGTGCACATCGTTTTACATTAAAAGAGAAATGCCCAGAAAACTTAAAAGTCAGGGTGAGTTCAAGTTTATTCCATTCATCCAACTTTGCCTATTTCTAGGCTTTGGTATCAAGAAAATTACTCTCTGAAGTGCATTTAACCAGTCACTAACCTCAGCCCGGGAAAAAGTTACCAGAATCCAGATAAGCATCTCAGAACATCATGCTAACTAAACAATTGCCACTGTTTATAAGTAGAAGATGAACAAATTTATTTCAAAATCTTTTAATGTCAAAGCAGATTACCAAAATCCCATGCTCTCCTGCATCAGAAATTTTTGCATGACATCTTTTATTGTACATACTAGAGAAAATACTATGTTATTACAGCAGAAATAAGTTGTGGGGTATTTATCATTTTTTTTTTCACCACACACTACTTCATAGTAGGAAAACTTTGCAACAAATCAAACAACGAGAAAAAGCAACTCGATATCAGTGCAAAGAGAAAATCCCGTGAATAAACTATTTAGAAGAATCATATTTTCACTGTCAAAACAAACCAGAATCAAAAGCCAGGGCAAGCTATAATATCTAGGAAAAGAGTTAATAGAAGAAAACACAGACAAAGCTTAGGCCTCAGGCCTCGTTAAAGCATGCGTCACCATTGCAAAATGACGAAAGCAAACATGTCTCTTAATTCTGTGTGGGAAAACCAGATAATGCATACATTATATTCAATATTCACACTCTTTTTAACAGACGTAAATATCAAAGTACCAACAACCCTCAAGCATTTCTGCATTTGGGTTAGTGGTGGTATTTTCCCTTTGTTGAGATTGTCCCAAAAATCTAGCAGCACATCGTAGTTAAAGTTTCCAATATTTTTAAAAAAAAAATAATTAAAAAAAACCAAAGTACCAACACAGAAAAAAGTCAGCGGTTTCACCTCTTTTATATGGGGATCTAACAAATCAAATTTGATCCATATATTACAAGGTCCACCTAAATCATACTCTGGAATTACTTGTGATAAGTACTTTTCCTACTTTTTGCAGGTTCAAGAATCACCTCCAACATCTACTTCAGTAAAACCTCAAAAGGAAAAGAATATAACAGCAATATCAACCATTTGGAAGACACATCTACAGACTATATCCTTAACAATGCTTCTATTACGTACTTTAGCCGAAACAGAATCCGTCCTGGCTATATCTACATAAATGGAAAATCTTCAGGTAAGTATAGCTAAATGAATGAGATCCTAGCTTACAATGTAAGAGGCTTTTCTAAAGCACGGAGCAGGAACAGAATGAACAATTATAATAGTCAAAATGCAAATGGGAAAATGTTTACAAACCATCGCTCACAACCCTAGACCTCAACGCTTGGAGAATTGTGGGGCTTTACGAGCCTTCTTGAGGCCAACTTTCTTTCTCTCGACAACCCTCGAGTCCCTAGTCAGAAGCCCTTCCTTCTTTAAAGGGGACCTGTGGCTATCACTCACCTTCAGCAGGGCACGAGCAACACCGAGGGAAATTGCTTGAGCTTGACCAGAGAGCCCACCTCCATGAGCTTTGACAAACACATCATAGCTATTCTCATATCCCAGTGTTACTAATGGTACTTTAACATATTGAAGCCATAATGGATTCCCCTGAAGATACTCCTGCAAATGCATGACAAAGCCCTATTGTAAGAAGTGCTTCCCACCACAAATTTTTAATCATAGAGTCTATATACATGGAAAGTGGGAAAAAAACAAAAAACAAAAAACTGACACAGAACAGCAATTACAAAGACAAAGGAGATAGATCTATTAGACTTCAGGCATGAATAGGCTGCATGAGATGTAGAACATTACTTTCAAATTTTTTTGCAAAGAGGACTTAACCCATCAGTTGGCAAACAATAACCTTGATTTCCTTTGCAAGGTGCTCCTCCATTCCTCAAACATAGCTTACAGATTTCGTATAACACGCCCTTCTGCCATTTTATTAACATCAGCTGCATCTCAAAATTCCTAATCCAGAAGGGACTAGACCTTACCCTACATTATCCGGTGAACTTTGTCCTCCCTTCTTGAGATATAGCAAGCACCATTTCACTCATCCAGAAGTCAATTGTAAGCAACTGATGTTTATGACTAGATGAACCCACTAATCTCTTGGAATATGTTAAATATAACATAAGATCAAAAGCGAAGTAACAGACTACTGCAATGAAATCATAGATATGCCCCGAATGCATATCTGATACCAGTTTTATAAATGAAAGCATTGCCCTACATGATGGTAAAGTCATTTATAAATTCTGCCCAAACCAAAAAAAAGTCATCAAAACCAAGTTATTATAACGTTTGCATTCTATTGATTCACTACGAAAACAGAATTTAACAATCAAACTAACTTGATTTTATACCAAGCACCACAAATTTTCCCCTAACGCACTAGAGGCATAAGCAAACGCGTCATATTAAACTATATGTTGAGTAGGAATACAATGAAAATAATAATATCTCCTTAATCCAGACGACCGAAAACGAAATTGCAATTTCGTTCTGGCAGAACAAAGTATCAACAACCTATATTTGCTATGCTACATTAGCTACAACTACAAACATTGTATGAACCATTATTTCCTAAAGCCAAAACTTGAAACACCTAGCGAATTAAAAAAAAAAAAGGAACTATTAGATGAAAGACGTTTGCAGAAATTCTTTATGCCATAGTCAATGTTATTCCGACCTTTCCGAGGAACTAAAGCTAGCTTCTTCTTCTTCTTCTTCTTTATAATTGCAAACAACACATACTTTCACAAGTTTCTCAAATTTCAAAAGAAAGAAAAAGGTAGACACGAAGGTCTCTTCTTCTTTTTCCTTTCTTTTCTCCAACATTTTTCAGTAATCAAACAGAAAATACAAGTACCTTGGCGTCACGGTAATTGATGATAACTTTTCCAGTTCCTTCCTGGAGTACAACGCGAGCAATAGCACATTTCCGGCGTCCAGTGCCGATAATCGTTTGAGCAGCAAAACCTCCTGGAAGCCTCGATTTCACATAATTCTTGAGGTCGACGGTCTCAGATTCGGTCGGCAAGGCTACCGAGGCAGCGATGGAGAGCGTGCGGCCCTTGGAGAGTGGCGCAATTGAGAGCGATTTCGGCCGGGAAACCGAGAGGCTGTTTGGTTTATGGGAAACCTGAGCGGAAAATGAGAGAGAAGAAAGGGAGGACGCCAGAGTAGATATTGAAAGTGCCATTTTTGAAATTTGGTTTGGCTATTGTTTTATCAGAGAGGTTCGTGATTGAAGGAAACCGGTGGTGGAACAGCGAGTGAAAAGGGGTAGCGAGCAGCGGGAGGCTGGGTGTTCAGGAAGAGGATAAAGTCGATGGAATTTACGATGATGCCCCGAGCAACAACCAGACGGGCCACAAGAAGGAGACGGTGCGTTTTGGCGTAGAATTTACCAACGGTAAGTAAAAAAAAAAAAAAAAAAAAAAAAAAAAAAAAAAAAAAAAAAACACAACCCTACAATAATCTATTTAAATGAAAAGTAAAAAATTTGATCGTTGATACTCGAAAGTAAGTGTATAGATTGTTGTTTTTTAAGTTTAAACAAAATGTATTAATTATTACTAAATTAAGTAATAATTAATTATTGTTTAAAATATTTAATTATTATTTTATATATATATATATGTATAAATAATGTCGCTCTACACATTTTGGAATCAGCCAAAGAATTGTATAATTACACGTAGTCGTGTGTTTATATGTACAAAAGAGGTCCAACGAACAAAAAGTCAAAACCGCATTACAAAATTAATCATTTCATTACTAGTGCTAAAACCCACCTTTGTTGACATTCACTAATTGCAAATTTGTCACCAAACTACTCCAAATTTATCACCTTATTCTTAAGTTAATCATATAATTTGGGTGTATAATTACTTAATTATTAGAACAATAAAGTTCATTATCAAATTTAATATATACGTGGGAAAAAAATAAATAAATAAATAAATAAACAATAACCGGCCAAAAAGAAGGAGCTTTTAATTATTGCTTGTTTGACAAAAATTAAGACAGAAAAATCCATCAAAACCGTGTTTAATGTGAAAAGGGCATAAAATGATCAAAGGCTAATACAACACATCAATCAATTCTCTAGTCAGCACACATATATATATATATATATTCTACTTTTTTATAGAAAATTATATTCCCTCGTTAGAAAATACCACACGTTTTTAGGTCAAAAATTTTGTACATAACAAAAAAATAAAAAACTCTCCATAACTAATCAACAACAAATTTTAATTACAATTCATTAGTTATAGTACAATTATATCGCCAAAACTTAATGGATGATTTCCATGCATCATCTTCGATTAATTCTCTTAATCCCAGTGACTTTTTCGTATAAATTTATTAGATTAAAAAGTGTAAGTTTATTAGATTCTGCGTTATTATCAAAATCATAAAGATAAAATTATTTTTTTACTACTTTTGATGAAAGACTTCGTATTTACACAACCAAGACCAATGAATTTTTGTTTTCTTCGATTATTGAAAAATAATTTATTTTTTCATAATAATTTATTGAAATATATAAAAAATAATAATCAATATAGTATATATATATATATATATATAAATATTAAAGAATTTTCGTAATTTTTAATCATTTTAGATAATATCATACATATTTAATAAAAAATATCATATTAATTTGTATTAGTAATATATAATTAAGTTGCTCAATTTAGTAATAAGATGGAGTTCTAAGTGACTCCATCCCTCATTTTGGATTGAAAGAGAACCCTTTTTTTGCTTCATTTGTTGACTCTTGTGTCTCTTTTACTATTCTCAGTAAGTTGTTTTTGCTTAAAGTACTTCTTAATTTTAAAAGATTACTGCACATAGTTTATACATAAATTTAAAAGTTTTATCCTTTCTCATGATTTTTTTTTAAAGATGAAAACTTTAATACAACCAACTAAAAGTCTCAAATTTTTTATTGTTTTTACCTTTTGCGAGTTGGTTGGTTGGTGGGATTGGACTTAAAAATTTCAAAACTGTAACCGGTGGTGCCTTCTACTTTTCTATTTTACTTTGACGCCTTGTTTTTATACTCAAAAGTAAAATATTCTTTAGGAAAAAAAAAAAGTTTATCTTTTTTATTTTCTTGGGGTGTAGCCGCGTGAAGGCAGATTAAGTTAACGACCCCACGCCAGGTATAAATTTAATTTAAGAGAATTTGGCATTCGTCTTTCCCTTTGCGATTTTATTAAGGAACCTGTGCGGGGGTCTTCTTCTTATAGGGGGAGTCCCCAAACATGCAATATATCGTTCAAAGAACAGGAACACGGTCAATGCCCGACTGGGTTTGACGATTCTTCGTCGAATTCCTATTGGGTTTATGACTAAATTAAACATCTACAGCGTTTTTACGTTTTTCTTCGTATTTGACTTTGAGTTTGCGTATAATTCTGATGCACCCCGAATCTTTGTGCATTCGTTTTCTGTTCGTTGTCGTTTGCCTCCTTTAACTGGCGTTCTATATGTTTGATTTCGTCAATCTCAAAGTTCTGCACCTCTTCTTTTTCTTTTCATCTGGGTAGATTCAAAGAGATAGAGAGAGCGTATCTTTTTGTTAATCTTACTTTGTCGAATAGAGTATTCCTTCAAACCCAAAAGAGAGGAAAAAGAAAAGGTGTTGCGTGGAGTATCTTTCTTTTCGAGACTGGGAAGATTGTGGCTTTTTCAGCAATTTCGTTTCTTCTCTGATCCGGGTCTCTCTGTCTCCACCGTTCTTGATTTGTTAGAGGTGAGTCATGTTCCACTATTTGATTCTTCACTTTTTTTTTTTCTTTCTTTTCGTCTTTAGAGCCTGCAATTAAACGTTACATGTGATGAATTTGATGGGCATATTGAGCTGGAGGAATCTCTCTTCTCCTTTCAATTCTCTCTTATATTGACTTTGAGCTGCTTGAAAACTTTTTGCTGCTCCTGTCATTCTTTTGTAGTTGAAACATCTTCAAAGTTACAATGCGTGGTGGGTGATTTTAGTTGCTGTTTGATCTTCTTATTTAATTTTCTTTTATTCATGAAGAATGCAGCAATTATGAACAATGCTGGTTGTTTGAACTTTGGATATCTTTTGCTTGTCTTGTTCTCCTGGGCATTATTTGAATCCAATTTTGAATTATTTTATCGTTGTCATGGTTTTTACTCTATCTGGTTGTTTCTCCGTTATTATATCTCCTCTTTTCTTTTCCTCCTTTGTTGCTTGTCGTGCAAGCTGGGTCCTGAACGTCCAATATTGTATCGAGTACTTCTTGCTGACTTATGCTATTTCCCCTTTATGAGCTATTGATGCAAAAAGTAAAGAAGAAACTGTAGTTAGTTTTTTCTTTGCTAAAAGTTACAGTAATCGCTTTTACCGGGTGGAAATTTTGTTTTTCTGCATTTGTCTTACCCTTGACATTGCACTGGTAGCCACTGGTTTTTGTTACTTCGATGTTTTCCTCTCTGAGCAAATGCCGTATGTGCAGGTAAAAAGTTCATCAGCTATGCACAGATAACATTGTGCATTATGGGTTGGTTCAACAAAATTTTTAAAGGCTCTAACCACAGAATTTCAGAAGAAAATTATCATGGGAGTTATGGGGAGGATTCTCATTATTATGCACCTTCAACTTCAGGGGTATAAGATATCTCATCTCTCAGTGAAGTGTTCTTTTTCCTTGAAATTTCTGCATTATTGCATGATTTCTCAGCTTTCTTGATATTCCTGTATTATATGGGATTTTTAGCCATTTCTCTTCATGAAACCTGACTGTAGCTACATTCTGGTCGAGTGTGGGGAAGGGGATGTTCACTAAAAAATGCTTTTGTTTTATATTCAGGACGCAGCTGTTGTTTACTGATCATAGACTATAGAGGATCATGGAATTTGTTGTGACCTTTAACCTGGCTAAATTTGAAATGTATACTTTGACATACCTTGATGTGGTTCTTCATTGTAGGATATCTGGTCGGAGCAGGAGAGTGAAGATATTGATCGTGCCATTGCATTATCCCTTTTGGAAGAAAATCGAAAGGGCAGAAATGTAACCGGTGAGTTTCATGGCTGTCAGATGTCAAGAAAATCAAATATGCTAGCAGGTCATCATATTTGTACACCAGTGTTCTTCTGTTGTATGTTTTGTCAACATCTAGTTCTGTTTTGAGAAATAGTTTGTGATTAATTGAGAGGAATTGCGTTGACCATCTTGCCTTAACGATATCATGGTTACTTCTCGTAGTATTATTAAAAATGCTTTCTACCATTTGAAAGTTCTAGTTTCAGATAAGGAAATATCACTATCGTCATAGGATCTGTTCTTTTCGGGAACTAAAAAAAATTAATCAAGTTCTACATATGTTCCTTAATAAATGAGTAGAATTGCCTTTTATTATTATTTGTGTTGGTGGAAAAATGGTGAATGTCATCTCTTCGTAAGGGGGAATAGTTCAAGAAAAGTAAATTCTACAGTAGGGACATGAGCAACTTCATGCTTACGTTGTTAACAAAGGAGTAGAATTTATTGTCAAGTTATATAGCAGAGCTTATGTTTCTTTATTGTTTCATTTGTGTCTATTTGGTTGCAAAATGCATGATGGAGTTATCTTTGAATAGTGGCTGGGAACAAATATCAAAGGTGTCCTTTTCCATTATTTTCTCCATCTCTAAAATTACACTGCTTGTGGGAGTAGCCTTTGACACTGTATATGATGCATGATAAAAGGCATTCAGCTTATGAGGCATATCCAGTCCTACACTCTCTGCTACTTCAGATGTCACTTATTTCTTTGACTGTTCAATTAAATGGCAGTAATCTATTGTTTTGATAAAATTTTGAGGGTTCTAAGTCAGATATAATGTTGTTTGAATGCACCAAAACTGTAAGATATAGAGATAATTTAGTCATTGAACTGGTTCATGATAAAATGCAGGAGTTCAGATATTTTAATTTTGTTTCTAAAAATTGATGTTCATGCAATTTACTTTTGAATTTAGATCTATTTATAGTGAATTATAGGTAAAAGCATTTGTTTCTGCAACGAGACATCTGAGAGAAGGTGCATCTCTGACTCATTCTAGTAAAGGAAACGATGGAGGACCATGCCTTACACAAAAGGATTTAGATTTTTACTTATGGGAAAGGACTATACTTGGATAGCTTTTTTGCATCTCATTTTTTCCCTTCTTTTTTATCTTCTTTTTCACTATTGGGATGATGTATGCTGTCTCTTGTGCTATTAACTGCATTTGTTGGATTATTTGTGCCCCATACGGGTGCCTATATAAGGCACAACTCATCTCTTTTTAACCATCTCCCAATGGCTCTCGTACTCTCCTTTCTCTTTCTCTCTCTTTTTCTACAGTATTTCTGCCAGGCAATTTACTATTTAGTCCAATTTGTGTGTAGTATTATCCTACTGATTTGAGGAGTGTTGGCTGCATGGTGGTGGTTGTTGCATGTTGCAAATCTTTCTGCATGAAAATTTTAGTCTTTACTCTCTGCATGGGAATTATAGTCTGTACCTTCTGCTAAAGAACTATTTCACTTTGTACCCATCTTCTGACTCGTTTCCTAAAGGGACTTTTGCTGGCTATTTGATGAGTCATTTGTTCTCTTTTCTTAATGTTTGTGTTATTTGTCAATACAATCATACAGGTGGACCTTGAAATTTTTTTCTGCTTTTTCATTCTTATGATATAATGTACTGTAATTTGAATTATAAAGTTTTTCAAATTACTGGATAGATAATAAATCTCAGATAGAAGAAGATGAGCAGTTTGCCAGAGCCTTACAAGAAAGCTGGAACTCTGAACCTTCTCCCCAGTTTGGACATGGAAATGGAAATATGCCCCTATATGGACATGGAAATGGAAATGTGCCCCAGTTTGGACATGGAAATGGAAATGTGCCTCAATATGGACATGGAAATGTAAATGTGCCCCAATATGGACATGGAAATGGAAATATGTATCAACCAATGCCAGTCCACTTCCCAATGGGTTTCAGGTAAATCAGTTGTATGGTTAATTATCTCCCCTTTTGGTTGATTTCTGTGTTTTTACTAATGAGTGAATTTTTTTACTAGTACTGCCTCTATCTTGCGTTTTCATTAGTTATGATCAATCTAGGAAATTGCAACAGTAAATGATAATATGAAAACTTTCTACGACCTAGTCACAGTTTAGATATAGCAACTATCTCCTAAATATTCTAAGTAAACTAGAAATGCTATATAATTGTAACAACTACTCTTTTACTTGTACTAAAAATCTTCCATTTTAACTTGTCATCATTCTGCATTGGGACCTTCAAGAATCAATACTATTATTTGTATGCCCTAATATTTATTTCAACGAAAAAAAATATTTGTATGTCCTAATATGAGACTTAAGTCAAATGTGTTTAAAAGTGGAAATTTTCGCTAGTTGCCCTTTGTTAAAGTTGAACTTAGCCTGAAACAGTTGCTTTCTTTGGACTGACAGTATTTCTGTTTCTTATGAAAATAAATAGTATTTGACCCTGAACATTGTATTTATATATCATAACATTGTATATGGAGGTTATTTTTCTTTTCCTGTTACCCATTTTAGGAAGAAAAAAGAAATTGTAGTGATAGTTTCCCTCCTTCAGCATCATATAAACATGATTAGAGAATGCCGTTACATTTATCTTCAGGGTTTGTGCTGGTTGCAATATGGAGATTGGCCATGGACGATTTCTAAATTGCCTAAATGCATTTTGGCATCCAGAATGTTTCTGTTGTCATGCCTGTAACCTACCAATTTCTGATAACGAGGTGCAGCTTACAGGACTCCCATATTTTTTTGCCTAACTATGATATTGATAATTTCTGTGTTTACTTGTTTCCAATCCAATTAAATCTGTTATTCTTCCTTCAGTTCTCCATGTCTGGGAATTACCGTTTTCATAAATCTTGCTACAAGGAGCGGTTCCATCCCAAATGTGATGTTTGCCGGCACTTTGTAAGTTTCTCCCTGGAATAAAAGTCGGCTATTGATTTTTGCTTTGCGTACTATTTACATGTTAAATTTATGACGTTGGATGCGAGTTAGGATGTCCTATAATTTCCTCCATGCCTTAAAGCTACTAAGTGTCACTGAGGGTCTCTTGTTGCAAATAGGTAGTGTGTATTTAATATTTTCCCTTCCCTATTAGTAGGTTCATTGTCTCAAGTACTGAAAAAATATGTAGTTTTTGCTTCATATGGTTTTGTTTGAATGTTGAATTGGATTAAGGCAGATGTTATGAAGTAGACATTATACTATTTCCTATCATCATTATTTAATTTATGTTGCATGAAGTCGCATAACTTTAATTTCGTAAGTGTAATAGAGAAGGTATTTATGGCATTCATCTATGAGATGTCAGTAGAAATATAAAAAAGGGTTGCTGTTTAGTTTCGAAAAGCTTGTTTATTTGTATGTATTGGGCTTTGGAATGCACAGGCACATAAGTTTATCTGTCTTCTGTTTTCAGATATATTACTTACCGTCAGTTTTTGTCTTTGGAATAAAATCTTATGACAGATTCCGACAAACCCTGCTGGTCTTATTGAATATAGGGCACATCCTTTTTGGATTCAGAAGTATTGCCCTTCTCATGAACATGATGGTACTCCACGATGTTGCAGCTGTGAACGAATGGAGGTCAGTTTGCATGAATATATCTATCTCTAGGAACACTTGTTTATTGTCATAGGAAAAAGGTGTCTATCCTCTTCTAGGTATATCTGGATTTCTTTTTGGCAAAAAGTTGATGGCATGTGCTTTGCTTCATTGTGTACAGTCACGAGAGACTGGATATGTTGGCCTTAATGATGGACGAAAGCTTTGCTTAGAATGTCTGGATTCTGCCGTCATGGATACCAACGAGTGTCAGCCCTTGTATCTTGACATACAAGAATTTTATGAAAGTATAAACATGAAAGTGGAGCAACAAGTTCCATTACTCTTGGTTGAGAGGCAAGCTTTGAACGAAGCTAGAGAAGGAGAAAAGAATGTAAGAACAAAAAAAAGCATTAATCTATAAACTATATATGTTATGAGTTTTCCTAGAAGAGAAAATATATATAAGCTATGTGATAGTTCTGACTAGTAATTGGAATACACTTGTCATTCCATATTATTCTTCTCTATTCATTGGTCGTGGCATGTTGGTTTTATTTGCAAGTATTTTTCATTTCTTCTTGAGTCAACATTTCGTATTGATTTCTATTATATTTTCCTTCATTGGCCAGGGTCATTATCATATGCCAGAGACAAGAGGGCTGTGTCTTTCTGAGGAACAAACTGTTAGCACTGTAAGGATAGTTGCTAATGTTCTTTCAATTTTTATGATGCATTGAGAAAGTTTGGTGTATTTAGTTTGTTTGTAAGATATTTATATCATATTGAACCTGAAAATCACCAGATTCTAAGGCGACCAAGGTTTGGGACAGGAAATCGAGCCACAAATATGATTACAGAGCCCTATAAATTGACACGTCGATGCGAGGTGACCGCTATTCTCATTTTGTACGGTCTTCCAAGGTATTTTATTTTTCACTCATTACTTTAAGACTGGCAAAAATGAAAGGTTTCAAATATCAGAAATAAAAGATTTAATAATTACTGTTACATAATTTATAGATCATACTAAATATCATTCTGCCTGCTGTGAATATGAGAGGTCTTAGCTGCAATAAATGTGTTAATAATTTTTTTTTTTTGAGGAAAAAAAATATATGGTGTGATTCTTTCATTCACAAGTACTAACAGAATGTCAACCTATTTACAAAATATATTTACGTATCAATCAAAATAACAATAAGGTCCCTAAAATCCTTCATTGCATAAAGATGATGACTGATGATAAAAAAACTGAGAGTCTGGAATCATCTCTCTCTAACTTTATCGAAGTCGTTTTCTAACTCCTCAAAAGTTCCAATGTTCCTCTATTTCCACATCATCCAAAAGATAGCAAGAAGAATGAGAGTCACATGTTTCTTTCCTCCTCTAATACCTTTCCAAGCCCATATATCTTCCTTCATCGAACTAGCTATCACCTGACTGATCTCCAGTAATCCATAAACCAAGATTCAAAATTTATACACAAACATGCATCAAAGAAGAATATGAGTGACGCTGAAGACAATAAAGAGGTCATGATCTTTTTAGACACCAGATTGCTTTATCCTTAAAGAACAGAGGAAAACAACTTTCATGTGACTTCTTGTATTATCTTGACGCTTTATGAGATATCTTAAGGGTCTATCATCTTATTTTGATGGAACTAAAGTAGAAAAGCAATAGTA